TGATAACTCGTATAGATCTCCGTTCAACTCGTCAAGTGCATCCATGCATAAGTTCGTTTGATAATCACGATCACCATCTAAAATTCAGGGACCGTGGAGCAGGGGGGGATGGGGGGCTACAGCACCCCCAAATAATTTTTCCGCCAATTTGAATTTTCTTAAATAAAGAAGCGAAGAGCCTCCTTGTGAAATTTCACTGTTCGTTATATGATGATCGTGTAAAAACTGAGCCGTAAACAATTAAAAGTTTTTTTGCGAAGTCTCATGGGATTTTATTGAATATCGTGTGACCGTGTGTGCGGTTTTAGCGGTCAGAAATATGCTTCGGATAACGCCTCGAAACGCGGGAAATGACCTCCGAGAGTTAAGATTTCAAACTTTTCCGGGGAGAATACCCCGAACCCCCAGTACCTCCTGCCTTCTGCAGCCGCTGGACCCCCCAGATTCCCACTCCGCGGTCCCTGAAATAAAATTCTTTTAGACGAATCTACCAAATTGCGGAGAGGACTAATCTGGTAGAAGTCAACGCGAATTACGTGGGCCAGAAAGCTAAATTCACCTTACGAGACGGGTATGAGACTAGGAGGCAGAGCACGTAATATTATGCAACTTTCGTCTTGCTTTATTCTTCGATAACGAAGTGCTAGCACACGGCTAGTTGTTGTTCATCGGCCGTCTCTCATCCCTAATGCTACAATTATTCTGAGATTTATTTGTATGAAAAGCTCGGTTACATGATTCCTTTGTTCCAGGTATAATATTAATGCATTATAACTAACAGATCGTTAATGCGTAAAACTAAAAAAATCAATCAAAATGATTATGGTAAAAATGTCATTWGATGAGGAACATAYACAGGAARGATTTTATTGGGCCTCCACATACCGAAACTAATAAAAGCACGAAGGATTGGGCCGAGTGCTTTTTGGGAACCCTGATCCAGAGCGAAGCTAAAATGTAAATGCTTGGTAAAATATATAAGTTGATTTGTTTATGTATATAAGTTCTAAACCGATGGGTTTTAAATGAAGTATTCAAACCTATGAACGTGACAAAGTACCGTCTTTCGATTGGATAATTAGCTCGTGCATCATTTTATCATCGTTTGTTGGGTGACCCCACTCAAAATTCGTTTTCAACTAGACCTTGTCCTCTCGCTGTTGCAGAGATTATGTTCGTTTATAAATTTCTCCAGAAACTGACAGAATCGAAGAACGTCTGCAGCAGAGGCGGTTAACCCTAACCTGTCTGAACTTTCTCGAAGGGGACTAGGGTGTCGCTCAAAAACACAAGAATAAATAAAAAGTTCAAATTTTTTATTGCTATATAAGATTTGATATGTACGTATTTTATAGAAACCCTTACATTAAACTTGTATTATTAAATACTTGTATAAAAACTAAAAATATCACTTGAAGGCCTATATATGGCGACACGGCAATACAAAAGGCATGATGGCTAAAAAATATCTTAAGATGAAGTATATCTATGGGATGAACATAACCGATTTTATCCAAGAGATTCCCATCTTCGATGTAAAAAATTCATAGTACTTTCATTCAGTTTGACTGACATATTTGATATAATGTCTAAGTAAAAGTAATGAGCTAGAACTTTAAAAATATATTATGCTCTCRAATTGTCGCATATCTGTGATTAGTTAAAAGAAAAAAAAGAGAAAACTTTCTCGGTCGAGAATTCAGCAGTGCGAATATCTTTCGGAAGGCGACAAGTCTCGTAAGCTTGCTACAACGTCAGAAGAGAGAACTCTGTGTCTATCTATATAATCATCCATGTTGAGTAAGTAAACATTTGAACGGTCAGCTTGTGATTCTCGTCGATCTACTGAGTGTTTGTTGCCATAGTCTGTTCTCGAAATCGGTTCGGATTTCGATGAGCTTGGGGAATTAGACTTTTGTGTTGTTTGATCTTTTGAAGAATGCTTTGACGTGGAATAACTTTGTCGTTGGTTCTTTGGTGTTCTCACGTCTCTTAAAAGCGTTGGTAAAACAGTTGGAATCTGTGATAAATTAAATGATCCGTTTCTACTCATCCAAGCGTCATCGTCACCAGGAATGGCCGTTGAAGATCTTGGATATTCATCTTTCATACGGGATCTCTCGAAACTTCCTGGAGAACTCACTTCAAACGAACTTTGACCATATCTTGGTGCGTATTGTCTGGAACTCAGATCACTTTGAGTTCTAGTAATCATTTTCCTAGAATATGAATTTGCATCATCCTTTCGTAAATTAGATTTTCCAGATGGTAGAATTCTCAGCGTTCCAGCAGATATTTGGTTTAGCTCTTCCTCCAAGTTTCGCTCCCACTCTCTTTCCATACCCGTCAGGCGATCTCCCGATGGAGGTGTGAACGAATCTATATCCGATTCAAACTTATCTATGTCAACGGATAATCCATCTTCGTTATGATTAGAAAGAACAACCGACGAGTCGAGATCCTCGTCGGAGCTGTTCTCGAGACCGTTTCTSAAAAACGAACTACCTGGAATCTCRTTTGAAAAAGGATTGAAACCAACATCCCGTTGACGTGAATTATATCGATGAGTCGGGACGGTGTCGTAAGGCTGAAAGTGTGTATACTCCGTTAGACCGATAGCGGCAYCTTGCCGACTAGGTTGTTKTCTTGCCTCCCTTTGCAAGTAATGTCTGTTTAGCGATGTATGAGGACTTGTTTCTGTGTTGTATCTGGAATAGTCATAACTCTGTGGAATTCGAGATAAGTCGTCCGACGATCTAGAAATCAAACCATCGATTCTTGCCGCAACGCTATCGTGATATTCCATAGAATACTTCTGTTGCATGTCAAACTTTTCTTGCTTTAGTTCAATTTCTTTCACTCTCAACTTGTCTTTCCATCTCCTCTGAAGCTCGTATCTCTCTGTTGATAGTTCATTTTCTTGTCTATCTTTCTCACTGAGCTGTTGTTGAAGTCTTTGTCTCTCTGCAACTCGTCTATCCATCAAGGCTTTCTCGATAGAAAGTTTCCTTCGCAGATCATTGACCTGCTGTTGTTTRGATTGCAGCTGCTCTTTTTCCTTCCTCAAGTTTTCTTCCAGTAAATTCTGGTATAGCTTTGACTTGACTTCATCTCCTTGGGTGGAGCTCAAAGCAGCAATCTGTCGTGTTAGTTTTTCTTCGACGCGGTCATGCTTCTCGCGGAGATTCCAAAGTCTGTTGACCAAAATACGACGTTGATCTTCGAGATGATTCAGCTGTTTGGCAAGCATTTCCTGAATCTTGGCATCAGCACATTCAGTGGACTCGATCTTTAATTTAATGTCTTCAATCATTTTTTCGATCTCGCGAATATGAACTTGAATATCTTGTTCCTGCTGATTTTTATTTGAGCGAAATTCTTGTAGCATGCTTATCAAACTTTCACGACTAACCTTTTCAGAAAAGGAAGAAAWATTGTTTAGATCTGAAGGCGAGTTATTCAAATCTCCAGAAGGAGAAAAGCGAGTTTTTAGATCCAAAATCTCTTCTCGCAATTTCATCTCCAAGTCATTTCTTTCCATCATTAGTTGTTCCATCACCTTCATTAGCTGTAAAAGACGTGATCGTTCGTTTGAGGAATCGGAAGTATTACCAGAAGCATTTCGTTGAAGAATTTTCTTATAATTTTCGATTTCTCGTTTGAGATTTTGATTCTCTAACGTCAATGCATCAACTTTCTCTCGTTCAGCACCAGTGTCTCTAAATTTCTTGTAAAGTTCGGTATTCTCCCGCCGTAGCTGGAATAATTCTTCCTTCGTGTACTGATGTTGTTCACTTTTTGCTGTCATCACACGTAACGAGTTTTGTAACTCGATGACTTCTTTACACTTTGAATTCAATTTTTCTTCCAGGTCGTGTAGTTGCATTTGGAAGTGGTTTTCGAGCTGCCTCCTTGTAACTTCAATTTCTTGTTCCTTTTCACTGTTAAGCTCGGCGACTCTTCTCACCATTTCACTTCGAACACTATTAATTTCTTCCATGTGATTTTTAATTAAGACTTTTGAATCGTTTTCTTTGTGTATAAGTGTTTCAAGTCTCATCATCAGGCTGTCCAACTCCCCGGCATGACGTTTACTCATTTCCTCTTGCTGCTCTTGGAATCTCTTTTCAAGCTCACTCTTGACCAAGTCTATATCCTCGCGCTGTCCCATGCTCTTTTCTTCAATTATGTTYTTAAGGCGCTTGATCTCATCCTCTAGGCCTCTGTTATCATTTCTTAGCGATATGATAACATCATCGTTGCTTGTTTCTATTGATTCGGGATCATTTGATTCTTTTTCTATTTTGCTCGTCAGTTCCATTATCTCTTCCTCGTGTTTCACTTTGGACTCAATAATTCGGCTTTCTAGAGACTTGATCTCCAGCAAACGATTTTCTAAGTGTTGCTTAGTGGTGTCCAGCTCTTTAAGAACAGCGCTATGTTCAGCTCTTGTATTTTCGAGGTCCTTTAAACTTTGCTGATGAGCAGAGTTTACTTGTTCAAGTTCATTTTTATGTACTTGTTCCTGCTTGTCCATGGAAGTTTGCAACTCGGTTTGAAATCCCTCTTGCAGCTCAACTTGAAAGGAATTCTCAAAATCAATTTGCTTCTTCAAATTTTTGATTTCATTCTCGTACATCTTTTTCTGGCTTTCTTGTTCTTCTGATATTACACGAACTTGGGACGATAGCTCTTCTACCTTGCTTTTGTGTGAGTCACTCTCATTTGAAATCACGACCAGCTTTTCATTCAGCTGATTCCGTTCTTTATCAAATGTTTCCCGACATTCAAGCAACTCCWCATTGTGCTTCTCTTCGCACTCTTTCAGCTGAATGTCACGGTCTTCATCTTTCAAATGGATAAGCTGTTCCAGATTATCAACCATACCTTTAAGGGTTACTATTTCTGCTTCGAATTCATCTGTTCGTACGCGATGTTCTTCCACTTGCTGGGCGAGAATACTTTCGTAATTCTGCTTGAGAAGCTGGTTATTCTTTTCATGAACTTCGTTCAACTCTATTCGCATTTGCTCCATTCTCTGATGGGTAGTACCGTCTGTTCCTTTAAAAACAGCAAGTTCCTTTTCGAGTTCAGTGGATTTCCTCTTTTCAAGATTCAGCTCTTCCTCTGCCTTGTTTATTTTATCCTCTTTTTCAGCAATGACAGAATCTTTACTGCTTACAACCGAAGTGATTTCATCGAGCTTATTTTGATGACYTATTATATCTTTCTCTTGCTTCTCGATCTTCTCCGTTAAGTTTGTGATTATTTCTCTCTCGTTTCGTAAATCAGTCTCTGTGACATTGAGCTTGTGACGTAACTCCGCAAGATGTCCATCATCTTCGTTTTCATCGGTTTTGGACTGGGTGCTTTCACTTTCAAGCTGGTTTTCTAAGTCATTCAACTTTTTCTTGAGTGTGTGAGTTATGTCCCTTTCACCTTTCAGTTCTGATTCAAGATCAACATACTGTTTTTGCTTCTCTTCTACTTCTTTCTCTTTGCGGCCCAACATCTTCTTAGTCACTTCAAATTGCTTTCGTAAGACATCACATCGTTCACTAGAATCATCTAATTCAATTGCAAGGGCTTCCATCTTCTCGTCATACATCTGAATTACAACTTGCTTGGCTTTATCCATATTTTGTAAGTCATTTTGTAGTTTTTCATTACGMAGAGTCAGTTCCCTTGATTGCCTTTCAAGTTCGCATTTATCGTTTTCCAATACTTGRACTTTTTGGATCAATACGTCTCTCTCCTCAGAACTGCTATCTATTTTTCCGTTGCCTGTTGTCTGGAGCTGCTCAGSTTCAGATCTCTTTACGACTTCCTCAGAACTACTAGAACCTTTGCGTTCCTCAATGGCTACTGACTGCTCTTCTAATGACTTGATCTTCTTGGCTGCCTCGCTGAGCTCTTGATCTTTCTCTTTCATTGCGCTTTCTGATTGCACAAGTCGATCTCTCAATTCAAGCAATTTGTCTTCAAGAATTTTGATGTTGGTTTTAACRTCTTCGTCTCTTTCAGCTTCATCCTCCTTCTTCTTAGCCTGGCGCTCAAGATCTTTAGCTTTCTCGTCCTTCATCTTCTCGATATCCTTCTTCTGCTTGGAAGTGATTCCCTCAAGTAGTTTAACTTTCTGTCCGAGTTGATTGATCTGTTGGAGCTGTTCCTTCGATCGAGTTCTTTCAGATACCAACTCATCATAGATAACACGGAGTTTTGACTCATATTCTTCTTTTAACTTCTGTCGTTTAGTTGCAGCTTCTTGCGCCAGTTGCTCTCGTTTTCTTGCTATTTGCTCTTCTAGTTCTTCTTTCAGGACTTCCAGTTCTTTTTCATGCTGGCTGAGCAAGACACCGAATTTGTTATCCCCTTCATCCTCCAGTTCTTGTACAAGTACCTTAAACTGTTCATTCTGCGATTTTAATTCGTCTATTTCCTCATAAAGCTTTTGAAGGGTTTCGTCATTGGAAGCACCTTCCTTTTTGAYATCCTCTTTGTTAAAAGAAGTGCCGTCATTGGAATTTGAGTTTTCGACATCGTTATCAATTGACGTCTTGCTCTGCCTTCGTTCCATTTCTTGGACAAGGCTAGCAATTTCCTGTGCGTATTGACTGTTTGAGAGTTCAAGGTCTTTGAGRGCCTTCTTCTGATTTTCGATCTCGTCCTTCAGGTCGACAATTAAAAGCTCGTATCTTTCTTTGACTCGGTCCAATTCTTTCGATAAYTTTCCATGATCTGTCCTCAATGATGTAAGCTCTTCGGTAGAAACTTTCATTTGATGCTTGTGCTTTTCAGACGCAGATTGCATTTCATCAAGCAAGTGGTTGTTCTCCGCTCTAAGAGATTCTAAAAACATCTTCAAACGTTTCGACTCGTTTTTCAAACTATCGTTTTCTTCTTTGAGTTTCTTTGTATCCGTTTGATCACCACTAGATTGGTCATCCTGCAACAGATTGATCTTTCCAGAAAGGTCATTGATGATATTATTTTTCTCTTCGATAACCGCATCTTTTTCYGTTTTGAAATGTTCAAATCTTTGAGATGAGCTCTTTAACTCTTCYGATACATTTTTTAGATTTTCYTCGAGCTTAACTTTCTCATTATTCGCGGTTTTCAAGTCATTTTCACGGTCTTCTATAAGAATTCTTTGGTTTTCTATTTTGGAAATAAGTTCTTCCTTTTCATCGTTGTGTTTTGTTACCCATTCTTTCTGTACTTCCTCAAGCTGAGTATAGTTACTACGCCATTGACGCACAGTGTCCTCTAATTCATTTATTTTATCAGTGAGCGTTTTTATACTTTCATTGTGCATTTGACTTGTTTTATTTTCACTATCATCGTGATTTCTCCGGTTCTTTTCGTATTCTTCTAACTTCTTTTGAAGTTGTTGAATTTCCTTTACGCTATTTTGTTGTAAAGTAGATTTTTCGATTTCCAGACGGGAAACGCTTTTGCGCAATTCTTCAAGTTCACTGTCAAGCATGTCCCCATGTTCCTTAAGATGTCTGTTCTCCGTCGTCTTCTGTGCTTCTTCGAGCTCATTACAGCGAGTACGGTGATATTCAAGGTCTTTACTTAGCGAATTAATTTTTTCCTTGAAGGTTTTCACGTCTTCAGCATAACGATTATCCAATGCGCTTTTGCTCTTCTCCATTTCTGAACACTTCTCCATGTACGCTTCCAATTGTTTAGACAGCTCTTTAATGGTCTTCGAAAGTTCTTCCTTCTCCTTGTCGGTTTTCTCTTTTTCTTCGGTTATTTCATCAATCTTTTTATCCAAGCATTTTATTTGCTCATTATGATTTACAGCCAGCATTGTATTTTCCTCCTGAAGTTTTTCGACTTTCTTAGAATATATCGTTACCTCATCTTGAAGTGTTTTCAGTTCACCTTCYTCGTTTTGCTCATATTTCTTCTTTATATTTTCCAGTTGTGCTCCATAGTTCATAACAAGCATTTGATTACCTTCTTCAAGTTCTTTCACTTTAGTTTTGTACAAATTTAATTCATCTTCAAGTGTTCGCATACTTTCCTCTTCAATCTGTTCATTAGTCGAATATCTCTTTTCAACCTCGTCCATTTTAAGCTTCAGTTCGGACAGATCTTTGTTATACTTTTCTAAGAGTGCCTTGTTTTCGTTTTCCAGATTTTGACATTTGTCTTTAAATGGTTCGAGTTGTTCCTTTACTATTGAAAGCTGCTTCTCAAAGTGCTCTTTCTGTTGTGCTTCGAAAACCTCTTGGTTTCTCTGTTGGACTTGTTCCATTTGGGTCATCATATCGGAAAGCTCATTATCGTATTTTTCTTTCAATGTTCTGTGACTCTCTTCTAGTTCTGAACGCGTTCGCACGCTTTCTTCATCGTACTGTTTCCTAAGCGTCTTTTCAACTTTGTTCACTTTCTCATTAAGTTCACTTTGGTATCTTTCCTTCACCTCTTTAGTCTTTTTCTCAACCAGTGATTTGCATTGCTTCTTCAATTCGTCTTCGATATATTTCACTTCCTGCTCTTTCTCTGCTTTAAATGCTTGAATCTGTGCATCGACGCTCTGTAACTTCAACTCGTACTTCTCAACCTTTTCCTTTTCAGTTCGCAGCTCCTGCTCAAGACTTTCTACTTTAGACTTGAATTCTTCTTTGATGACAATGACATGTTGCTGGGTGTTATCCTGCTCAATATACGACCGTCTCCGTTCGTCTGAAAGTCCACGAACTCGCTGCATTAGCTCGGCTATTTCCTCTGTGTGCCCGTCTTTTAGAACCTGAATTTGTTCTTCCATGTCGTTGCTTACTCTCTCGAGATCAGTTTGAAACTGTGTACGTAGTTGTCGCTGAATTCCGACAATTTTGTCCTCATATTCAGTTCTTTGTTTCTCAAGTTGCTGTTCATTATTTTCCTCCACTTTTTGGACACTCTCATCAAGGTCTTGCTGATATTGCTCTTTGATTCGCTTTTTCATAAACTCAAATTGGTGCTGGTAATGTTCATGGATGGTCTCAAGTTCTTGRAGAATCATTGGCTCAGTGGTCTCAAGCTGGACTGGTACCAACTCAAAGTGTTTGTCAWCGTTGTCTTCTTCTASTCCATTGATATCATTTGTAACCGCGGATGAGACCTCGCCATTGGAAACATGCTGAAATCGTGACTGCTCTTCATGATCACTTTGCTTTGAAAGACGCCTCAGTTTTTCCACTTCTGCATTAGAGCGCTCCAACTGGGACAGCAACTCATCAATTTCAAGCTGATGTTGGTGGATGAGCTTTTCTTTAACACTCATGACCTCCCGACGAAACTTAATTTCTTCTTCCTGTAAACGTTCATCCATAGTATCCTCTAGAGTTTTAAGTTTAGCTTTAAGTTCATCGACTTCCTTCATTGTAATGCTTAGCTGTTCATCTTTGGATTGAGCATTTTGTGAGTTTACTTCCGTTTCCAATCTTGCCTTGAGTTCYGTRATTTCTTTTTCGTAGTTTTCTTTAAGTTCGTTCATTCTGAGTTCAATWAGTGATTCCGTGTCACTATTTTGAAGTTTCTCAAGTTGGGACCTAAGATTCTCTAGCTCAGCTTCGTGATTTTCGAGATCTTTCTCCATTTCGACTTGYGTTTTCATAAGTTTTCTCTGTAACTGATTGATGTGGTAGTTTTTATCTTCTATAGAATTCTTCAACTTTTGAATTTCTCTTTCGTATTCCTTAATTTTTTCCTCGTTATTATTATCGTCCTTGCTTTCAAAGTGTTGTGAAAAGCTAGAGGACAAGACGGCAAGTTCCTCCGCGTGTTCGTCTTTCAAAAAGTCTATGTTCTCGTTAAGTTCTGTAATATTCTTCTTGAGATTTTCAACTTCTTGCAGCAGATTATCTCTCTCTTGTAATACCTGCAAAGTAAGACGAAGGGATTGTTATCCTGTAAAATGCACAAAAGCGGGCAGATTTGCAATTAGTCGACACGTGGTCTATTTTGCTTGTTTTTCCCGAYACTCTCTTATTGCATTCTTAAATCAAGACCCCCTATCCAAACGTTCTGTTGAAAATTCTGAACTTAAGACAACTGCTGTCGTTTTCCTGTCTTAATTCTCGATATCTGGACTAAGAGGAGAGATTCAAGTGCTCCAATCCRGCGTCATGCAACAGACCGCTGACATTAAGCCATGAAGAYTCTGGGCTCAAGATTGACTATGCAGCAGGACGACTGGATGAGGAGTAGTTCAAACATTATTCGCCACAATATCCTTGTGAATATCTGKWWKTTTTCGCCAATTGAAATAACCAAATAATAGTTCACGGTACTTCTAAATAAGGTAAGATGGAATCCTAGTTTCTATAGAGTGCAAACAT